TGGTTATACCAATATGAATTCTTTGAAGATTACTTATTTAGGAAGTCGGGAATCGTGATTCGTGATACAGGATGGAATAAACAATAGCGGTAAAATTTCAACGATGGGATTACGGGATCAATTTTGGCAGTTGAAAATAGGTTAGTTTTGTAAGAAATTGAACTGAATCCAACCGTTGAAGGACTTCAAATCCATATATTGGTTGGTTCAGTAAACAATAACCGACCCTCCTCCAACCAGATGGTGAAGTGCCCTTGCGTGACACCTCTTGGTCTTGGGTTCCAAGGTCGGTGTGATCCCTGCTGCTGTTGGCGTATTCATATGTGAATGTGGTTAACAAAACCAAGACAATGCGGTGCTGCTGTTGGCGTATTCATATGTGAATGTGGTTAACAAAACCAAGACAATGTGGTGCAGTAACAGTTCAATTCGGCGCAACAGCAGTAGACTGGGGGGGACTTTTCCTTTAAAAAAGAGTGAGATTTGCATGGAATAAATAGATAGTCATTGTAGTGTATCGAGTCGACAATATCGTGTTATATGAAAAGGAAAAAAAAAAACACTTGAACACATAGTACTATTAGGTAGGTACGCTGTTATTTTGGTGTGCCGTGCATCCGTACAAGTGAGGGTCCAGCCAAGTCACGCCGAGAGAAGAAAGCCCGAGTCCCAGTCCGCGTCCAAGTCTAATGAGGACAAATACACTGAGGAGGAGGAGGACTGTTCGTGTTCAAGCAGTAGTACACTCGCGTAGTTTTAGGGCAGGAAGTAGAAGAAGATGAGAAGTAGAAGAGGAGGGCCCCACACTCCCCAAAAAAATCTACGTGGACCAATCCAACTCCGAGATGAAGAATGAGAGTTCAAAGTATAATAAAGTTATAAATAGGCGAGGATCGGGAGCAGCCTGAGACCCGAGAAGTCCTCTCCGCTGTCGTCTCCGCCCCTCGCAGGGCTGCGCTTACTCATTTTCTCTCTCTAATCTCTGTCAGTTTTCCCACAGGACACCCAACCGAACTAAACAAGATTGCGACAACTAATCCAAATCAAATGGCACAGGGTGAATCCTCGTCGTCCGATCTATCAGATCCATCCCTATCCCGAAACGTTTCCTTCAGTCGCCTCAACGCCCAGGCCGCTGAGTTCGTCCCCAATCGCACCCCCACTGCGCCCGCATCCGCACCGGCAGCGCCTCCTGCGGCTGTGGGTCAAGTCCACGTTTACCCTCCGCCGCCGCCGCCGCCGCCTCCTCGGGCCCCTTCCATGTTCCGATCCAGGTCGTCCCTCCTCCTCCTCCTCCACCTCACGCGGTGCCGGGCCCAGTTCATCATCATCATCACTTGCCGGTCCAGTATCATCATCACCACCAGTATCATTATTCTGGATTTGGAGACCAGGAAGTGGTCGTGCAGCAGAAACAGAAGCATCAGCATCATCAGCAGCAGTTGGGCGAGCAATCTCAGGCGGATCATGCTTCCTCCTCCTCCAAGACTCACAAGCTTTCCGATGAAGCCACCTCCAAGATTTTGAATCAGGTTACTTGATAATTCCTAGTCTGTCTGTCTCCAGATCCTAATATTTGAATACCTCCAACACTAACAGTGTATACTTGTGATTGAGAGTTGTTCATAAACCCTCCCTTCATAGTTAGTAATTTCAAATTCCATTGATTGTTGTAAGTCCACAAGTTGGATTGGATATCGGTTTGGTTGCCTAACATTTCATTTTGCAGGTGGAGTATTATTTCAGCGATATAAACTTGGCTACTACTGATCATCTTATGAGGTTCATAAACAAAGATCCTGAAGGATATGGTAACCTCTTCTTCTTTTCCTTTACTCGACGATTTCATATGCTTTCAAATGCGTTTTAGGGTCGATTCAATATCCATTGTTTAAATTTTTATCGTTATTAACTGTTTAATATTCATCCTGATATAGTGCCGATCTCTGTTGTTGCATCTTTCAAGAAGATTAAGGCCCTCGTAAATAGTAATTCTCAGCTTGCAACCATATTGCGCAACTCTTCAAAGCTGGTGAGTTCACTCCATCCTTCTCTTGAAGAAGTACAAACATATTCCGCCTCACTTGTGTATCAGTTTCTTCGTTTGTCCTTCTGTTTTGATCTTTAACGATGTCATGTTTTGCAGGTAGTTCATGAAGATGGAAAGAAAGTTAGACGTCAGCATCCCCTGACTCAGTTAGATATGGACGAATTGCAAGTAGGTTTTACTTGTATTCAGTACCGTTTTCATGTTAGGATAAATGTTTTGGTTTGGCGCCTCGATTTATGCCAAGGATTTTGTGAGTCGGTCTTTTAAAAAATGGTATTTTAAGAATAAGAGGTTTTTTTTTTTTCCTTAATTTTTTTACTGTTATTATTCTCTATTAAGGGCTCGGTGTAAATCCTTGTTGAACTTGATAATTCTTGAGATTTCATGAAAATTAAACTCATGTTTCCTCTTTATCATCTGATTTGCATTCTGATCTTCTGTAGTCTCGCATAGTTGTCGCTGAAAATTTGCCTGAGGATCATTGCCACCAAAACCTCATGAAGGTTTTCTCTGCTGCAGGGAGGTATCAAGAACACATTTCGTTCTAGATTTTTATTTATTATTTTTTTAACTCAATTTCTTTATTTCCAAGTCGGATTTGTTTTATTGATCCTAGAAGTCTATATAACGTTGAGATGTTCTTTGACAGTGTGAAGACAATCCGGACCTGCCAGCCACAAGCCTCCAATAGTGGTGCTTCCTCGGCATCCCGATCTACAAAAGCAGATGGCATGCTTTTCAGTAACAAGGTATACATACAAACACATGCACACTTGATATGGTTTGTGCTGGTATTTGCAGTTCCCTGCACCTAGTAAATAGTATAAAAACTGAATAGTTAACAATAGTAATTATTGTTCCTATATAGTTAAAGGTGGACGGAAATATCTCATATATGGACTCTCTATTTTTTGTAGTTACATGCATTTGTGGAATATGAATCCCCTGAGATAGCGGAGAAAGCTGTAAGTGTTTACAATGATTAGACGTTAATATGATTTTTTGCCATGTTCACTATGTAAAATAAATGTTCATTTCTTTCTTTGGTTAAAATGTGTGTTTCTATTGTACAGGTTGCGGAGCTTAATGATGAGGCAAACTGGAGGAGTGGCCTTCGAGTCCGTTTAATGCTTAGGCGAGCGGTATATGCCCAAAACTATATGTGGTTCTTTGTTAGGTAGATCACTTTGGTTCCTGAAATTGTAGTTTCTGTTTGTTCCATTTGCAGACAAAACCTGCTCAAGTGCGGGGGAAGAAGGGGCAGGATGGGGAAGTGCAGTTAGAGGAAGAAGATGCTTCTACAGCTGAACAACAGGCAAATGAGAAACAATCAGTAGATTCTTCCCAACAGTCAAATGTCCATCCACACGAACACGAAGAGAGAACAAACTCATTGAAATATGTATGTATTTTGTTTTGAGCGTTGCATTCAATTGATAAACATTTACACGCTAATTGGATGAACTTTTCTCAAAGTGGTTAATGGTAGCATAAGTATGGTACTGGAACGTTGGTGTTACATTAGGGATGATAGTTACCCCCTTTCACTGATGTCAGCCAAAAAGCTTCTTGGGGAGCGGGAAAAAAATTTGAGTTAATACGCATTCTTCACTAAGCTTTTTGATCGTAGTTATTGATTTTAATGATATCAACTCAAGTATCGTAATCATTTCATCTAGCATGAATTCACCTTACTATAGAAGCCCCAACCATGGCGTATTCGCTTTGTTTGTATTTATCATTTTACGCTTGTATCAATATAATATTTTTTGCATAAATTTTCTTTGCCAGGGAGAGGAGCATGGCAATGACAAGGAGGTTGGGCAGAGAAAAGGGCGTAATAAAGGCCGTGTCAAGGGGCGTGGGCGAGGTCAATACCATCAGAACCATCATAATATAATCGTGGAAATCATGCGGGGCATCCTCCTAACAATTCAGTTGGGAGTACGGAGCAGGCAGTTGTAACCAAGCAGCCTCCCGGGCCGCGTATGCCTGACGGCACAAGGGGATTTGCAATGGGTCGGGGGAAGCCAGCTACTGTTAATATTGCCTAAGGACTGGGGGTATTTGATAGTGTTTTTTTCTTTGGTATTTCTGTGGCTGCAAAGTGCGTGTGGGGGTTGGTGGGAAGGGAAACACTGTCTTATGGTGTGGTGTTTGATGGCAAAGGTTTTTTTAAGGGCTGTCAATCCATATTGTAGTCTTTAAGGCTGAGTCAAAAATAAGTGGTAACATTTTCTGTTTGTGTTTGCAAATGTGATTGCGCCCCCTGTTTTTATTGATTCAGGAAACCATGAATACCAATACATGGATAAATCGTAAATGTAGTCGGGTCAAAGAAATTTGGTCATAACGAGTGATTGGTTAGGTTTAGCTTTTGTTCTTACATCCCAAAATCTTTGTTTTACACAAATTAATCAAATGTGTTATGTCGTGTGATTCAATAACGCGATATTTGAAACCACACTGTGTGAAACGGATGAAGATTCAAAATTTAGTGCAAGAAAATGGGTTGGCCTTCTGTTCTTCTTGTTAGTGGCACTAGTGGAGAGAAGTTTTTCTTCGTTTGTAAGCGAGAGTCGTGACTCCCAAGGAGGGTGCATTTTTGCTCATTGTACTCATCATTCTATTTAATATTTTTGTATGAGTTTAAATTTTGAGATTCATGTGTATCCACCATCTATGTTTCGAAATTTAAATTTATTTAACGGTGATAAATTGGCAGTGATCACTTACCATCACTTGAGGGTAGTGAGTAACAGCATTTCCTCTAAGGATGGCATATTCGATACTTAATTATGACTAATCATTGTATAACATACCGAAAAGGAAAATACAAAGAAAATGCCTGCCTTTCGTTTCTTTGGACCAAAAGAAAACACCTTTAAATTGAATCTCTTTCTTCGAACTCTGGCGGATATATGAAAGCGAAAATAATTAAGAAAGAAATAAAAACCAAGGGGGAATGAAAGTGAACGGGCATCTACATTTCCGCCTAAAAACAACCACACAACAAACACACTTGGTAAACACAGAAGCAGCGGAGGAGGACCGGAGGATACACTCTCGAGAGTCTCGTCCGTCGTCACGCACGCGCCCACTCTCTCTCGCTCTTTCTCTGTCTTTGAGATTCAGGGGAGCTTGGACTCAAAGGAGTGAATCAGTAATGGCAGACTCAATCACACCCATCCTTCCTAACAATCCTAACCCTAATTACCAGGGCCCAGCAACTGGAACTCTTCCTCCTGCTCCTCCACCTTCATTGTCACTAGATGGGTCACCGCCGCCGCCGCCTCCTCCAGCTGCAGCTTCGAGGAGTCCCGTCGTGTTCAGCTTCCCCAAGAGGCCTTCGATTCGACTCACTTCCGAGTTCGACAGCGACTCCTCCGTCTTCTTCCACAAGGTCTCTTGCAAGCTGCTGGACAGCCTTGCCAAGCTGAAGCTCTCCTTCAGCAACAACCACAAGGGTGAACTCTCTCCGCCGCAGTTGACATTCGTCTCCAAGAACCTCTCCGTTCACCACAACTTTGAAGATCAATCTACCCTCCTCAACGGCTCCGTCGATGTTGGCCGGAGATTGCATTTCCGTGCTACCCATCATCTCCAGGTTACCTCCCCAATCCCTTTCTTTCGAATGTAAATTTGTAATGTAATTGTTGAGACCATCCGGCATTCAATCTTAGGCAATTAGGCTTTAGCTTTTCATTAACTACGCCCCATCCAATCTTCGTGTGTCTGTTTATGTTTTCGCAAAGCTTATCGACATGAACAAGTTGACTCATTTTTCTCTCATGTCTAAATGTCATGATTGTTCTTAGGCACAAGAAGGAGAGGCAACCGTGGTCGCGAAGCTTGCTGACCCTGGCTATGCACTTGAGCTCTCTTCTCCTGTTCCTTATGTTGGTATGGTAAGTACAACACATGATATCGGCGGTATAATGATGTTATGACACCCTAGTTTTGAATTGTCATCCGTCGTTCCATTTAAGTATAACTCTAACAAGACCATTTCCTTGGAGTCCTACTGCTGCGCGGAGTCAGTAGTGTTTCAAACTTGTTTCTGTTTTTGCACATTGATCTGTTTTAAGATACACCGGCATTCGTGACTTGGATTGTTGAATTATGACACTATGGCATATTTCGAGAATTGTCATTTGGATTTATAATTTGGTGTTGGATTTCTGAGTTGGTGTTTTCTTCTTTGGTGTATACTTGATAACGTTCCTTGTTGCTCTCATTTTATTGAATGCTTTGTTTCTTTTCCCCAAAAAAAAAGTCCTTTTATGTCATCTTGCAGCATTACAATTTACCAAATAGAAAAATAGTCGTTTTTAAATAATTTATTAGGGCCTGTTTGGTATCCTATTTGAAATTTTTTATCATTTCTCAAAACATTTTTTAAGAACATTTCTTGAAAACAATTTTCTTTAAGACTCAAAAACTTGATTGGTTTGCGATTTAAAAATTTTAAATCTTATGACTTAAGACAAAGAGATCTAAAAAGAGGGGGTCGCAGGAGAGGGAGAAAGAGGAGAGAGGAGGAAAGAAAATTAGAGATGATTGGAGGAAAGAGAAAGAAGAGAGGATTGGACGAGATAGAGAGGAAGAGGAGTGAGAGAAAGAACTGAGAGAATGAAGAGAGCGGATTGTAGGAGAGACGAAAAAGGTAAAAAAAAAGGAGGAGAGAAGAAAGAAGAAAAGAGAGAGATAGATTTGGAGTGAGAGGGGAGGAGGGAGAGAAAAGAAAAAAATGAGTTTAAGTTTAAAAACTCTAAAAACTCACTTTTTATGTTTTTAGATAATAGATTATATTCTTGAGTTCAGTTTTTGAAATAGTCTTACCAAAAAAGTTTTTAAGGCCTAAAACTTGAAAATTGTTTTTGAGTTTAAAAAGTTGGATTCAAGTAGAGTACCAAACAGGCCCTTAGTTTCATGTTCTTCTCAAAAGGAAAAAAAAAAAAATTAGTGTCCTGTTACTTTTCCACTCCAGAGTGTCCCTTATTTTTCCCCTTGTTGATTTTTTACTGGGGAAAAAAGAATAAAAAGATATCGTGGCACCATATTATATGAAATGCTTCTCCTTACACGCCTAAACAAAATCATGGTAAGTTTTATTTATTAGCTTAATCACTACTCTGATGCTGCAGCCGAAAGCTACCCTAAAGTTCCCGTTGGGTGAAGTTTCTGTGGAGGAGAAAGAAGAAGAGGAGGTGAAGAGGATTTTATCGATTAATGGAATTGCTAAAAGCCAAATTTTGAATGGGTTGTGTACTGCTCAATATGCGGATGAAGATTTGAAGTTGCGATATTCATACAAGGTAAGCATTTCATTACTCTGGTTTTCTACATTTGGTGTTTTTCAATTGCACAAGAGGGAGAGCTGGGTCCCCATTAAGGAAAAATAAAAATATTCAACGTCTCCTAATAGCTGGATGAATGCACTTTTCATCATATTGGCGTTTCGTCTCTGTGAACTTTTCTGACAGCTTTGGACTTAGTACAGGATGAGGAGATGTCTTTTATCCCAACCCTTTCTCTGCCTTCCAATGCTTTGTCATTTGCTTTTAAGCGTCGGTTTAGTCCTTCAGACAAGTTGAGGTTAGAAATCTTACATTTTCTTTCCATTTAGGATAGTTTAAAAGTTTATATGATTTGTTTCTTTTTGTGTTTTGTTTGTTGATTCAGATGTATACTATGAATAAGTATTATGTTATCTGCTTAGTATCATCATTTATGAAATTGTATTGTCAATCTTGCCTTCAACATTTTTCCTTATAAGTCTCCAATAGTAAATTGGTACAGCTTGGATCTTTTTTTAAATGTGTCGCTCGAGCATTTGAAATAATGAAGTGAAAAATGGGTGATTTTCGCGTATAGCTAAGTTGCATTGAATATTACTTCAAAGTAATTTCACCATGCGAGTATCTTGTTATTTGTTTACGGTTGTTCATCAAGCAGTCATGTATTTGCACATTTTGTCTCCAGTCATCTATATCCAGACTGTTCGAAGAGTTTTATACTGATTTTGGTGATTTCATCTCCAGCTACTGGTACAATTTTGATTCCAACTACTGGAGCGCGGTATACAAGCACACATACGGCAAGGACTTGAAACTTAAAGCTGGTTACGACTCAGAGGTGCGCCTTGGCTGGGCATCTCTTTGGGTAAGTGCTTATTTCAGGACAACAAGAAAGGCCTTTTTTAGTTTTATTCTGTTGTTCCGCTTGAAAAGGGAGTTTGGAAGGAAACCCTTGGGCTATGCGTGGAAACTATTATTGACACATAATGCCATAATAAGTTGAATTGTAATGAAAAATTTATGTCAATGAAGATTTCTTTGAAGTGTTGATCGCATGCTAAAAATGATTCAACACTTAGATTTGCGAATTAAGTGCCTGACCGTTGAGTGCACACACCCCTTTTTACCTTTGTGGATAGCACCCCCCCATGAAGAAATGATAGGAAACATGATCCTGTTTGTTTCAGGTTGGAGATGAAGGTGGGAAAGCAAAGACGCCCGTTGAAGATGAAAGTTCAATTCATGCTCCAAGTGCCGCAAGATGACATTCGATCATCGGCTTTGATGTTCCGGGTAAAAAAGAGATGGGACATATAATAGTCACTCTGGTTGTGGGATGATATGGTGTAGTGCCCTTTTATGAACATTCAACTGCAACTCTGTTGTTTCGATATCGTATAAATATGATAGTGTTGTTTCATATTTACCAGTTGAAATAATACCTTGATAGTCAGCAGTTGACGGGCAGTCGAGACGGAAAGCTGAGAGGATCTTGGATAAGTACTTATTTGTTAAGCAATTGGGTTTAGTTTACACAAATTAGTTGGTCCAGACGAGGTCGTTGCTGGATCAGATGCTAAAGAAGAAGCAAGTGGCTGTATATTTTTGTCACGTGGTCCTTCCCCGTTTGTCTGCTCTGTTGTTCCAGCTCAAAGATTTTACCTTCGCGAGAGATCCCTATGAAATTCACAGCACATACATGAAATCGTAGATTCATATTAGAGTTTAATGAAATTCTTGCAAGACAATGAAGCTGCATCGGTCGCTATTGGAGCGAATTTGTTAGGATATTGTCCCGTTGGAGTACTCGGAAACAATTGACGATGAACTAACCTTTTTTTTTTAATTTTTTTTTACGAGTATAAGTTCTACGCGGTGAGAATGTCACTCTGGACGCTAATTATAAGAATGGTTGATGTTATTCACACAATTTTTTTTTATCTCTCACATATCTGGTTAATTTTTATCTTTTGATTTTCTTCAAATTATTTTATCGGACAGCTAGAAGAATATAATCTATTTACCCTATTCAATAAGTGGAGAGAAAATAGTTAATCATGTATTATCATGTTATCAAGTTAGACACGTGGCACTGGTAGTGTCATTGACATTGTAGATAGGTTCCGTTGAGTTGTGGGTAGGTCAAAATATGCAAAGAAGGAAAGATAAAATTAAGGCAAATACACGAGAGTATAATAAAAGTTGAAAAGCCAAAAAGCGAACGAAAAGATAAAAATTGGAAAAGGAAAAGCCTTTTTGACAAAATCTTATTCCATTTTACAATTTGTTAATTTTCTGCATTATATAAATAATCAAATGAGAAGGAGATTGTGAAAAGCGCAGAAAGATAGAAGCAGAGAAGCAAGCAGCCGCTGCCCCCAAAAGCAAAAGCCCAACGAAAAGCGAGGAATGACAACACCCTTGCATTTGAGGCTCTTCCTGCCTCTCACCTCCATTACTCCCTATTCTTCTTCTTCTTCTTCCTCCTCAGACTTCCCCTGCAAGTCCTTCAAATCCTTTCACTCTGCAAGCCCTAATTTCAACCTTTCTTCCCTCTCATCTCACAGCCACACATGTGCTCGAAACAGGACATCCACTCGCTCCAAACCCAAGGTATCTCTCTCTCCCTCTCCCTCTCCCTCCGCATATTTATATGTTCGTATTCAAATCATCAGCTTTTCTTAATTCTGAGAAGTTGGGTTTCGTTGGTGATGAAAAAGATTGTATATTTGGGCTTACAAATCGTTGTGCTTATTTTTCTGGGATGAGATGCTTCTGTTCCTTCATGAAGTAATTGAATTTGCTCTTCAAAGTTGGGGTCTTGTTTGCGTTAGTCTCTCTGTTATCTCAAGATGCTGCTGCAATTCTATAATTTCGACCTCCATTTGCCTTAAACCGGTTTAATTTCCTGTAAAAGCATGTGACTTGAACTTGTGTGCGTACAAATTACCACTCTTTGTGGGCAGTTGGTTTTTCACTAATGATTTACTACCAGGGGTATGTTTTTCTGTACTCGTATAGTGGCTTTGTGGACGCTTGAGAAGTGATCAAGACATAGGTAGTCGATCAAATGAAGACGCGAGCGCGACTGGTGTGAGTATGTTTGGCTCGGATGAAGAAGGAGGTACCCAAATCCCAACCCAGGCTCAATCTGTTGTCGAAGGATCAGGGGCAGTTATGGTTTCAGAGTATAGACCTGTGGACGATGTGGATTATCTACAGGTGCGTGATTATTCTTCGTTTGGCTTCTTTCCATTTCGTAGACTTGATGCATATAAATGTAATCGTTGCCATGAGGATTACTTACAAAAACATAATTCCAGTCACTCAATTTATTTGTAAACCATATGTTTGCAGGACTTTTAGGTAGCCTATATCTCTTGCAGGTCTTGTATGCTTTGTCTTTAAGTGTTTTCTTAATTGCAACTTGAAAGCACTCTCAGTCTTCCTATATTATGCAACGTTATCTGCAGGAGTTATTAGCCATTCAGCAACAAGGGCCCAGAGCCATTGGTTTCTTTGGGACCCGGAATATGGGATTCATGCATCAAGAACTTGTTGAGATTCTCAGCTATGCGATGGTGATCACTGTAAGAGCTGTAACTGAATTAGATTTTATATCTTGCATTTATGAGTACGTATGGAGCTATCAGATGTTCAACAATACTGGGCAATTTCAGTTTATGTTGAATCTGAAGGGATCAGTGACCTTGACTTGTGTGTCCCTTAACCTCCTGTTTGCAGAAAAATCACATATATACATCAGGGGCTTCCGGTACTAATGCAGCTGTCATCAGGGGTGCTTTAAGAGCAGAGAAACCAGAGCTGCTTACTGTAATCTTGCCCCAGAGTTTGAAGAAGCAACCACCCGAGAGCCAGGAATTATTGTCAAAAGTAAGAATTTCTTAAAATGACATTCCTTGAATTTTACACGTCATCTATTTTGGTCTTTACTAGATTTTCTCATAGTATTCACATGTTCGGAGTTATCAATTGCTTATTGTCTCATAGTTGACTCTGAGTTTAGATTTTTGCTCCTCTTTTTACTTTTTGGATTTTCTTGATGCTATTTGTGTACGGTAGTTTCTTAAACCACAATAGCAGGGGCTTTTGTAGTTCTAGTGCACTATGGCCTTGCCCTCTGCATCCCTCTTGGTTATTTATCAAAGACGAAAAACTCATATAAGGCCTACGTCTCTTTTTCATCTTTGTTTTCCATTTTTCCTTTACTCAAGGAAGTTCTAATAATTCATCTGCATCTCGCTCAAAATGTTCATCCGTTCAAATTTGTTCAGGTATGATTGTATTGCAGTCATTTCCTTGTTAGGGAACATCCAGGAAAGCATCTAGTATATAGCCTATCACCATTTAACGAGATGATATGTATGAATTTGAAGAGCTCGCCAGCAAATGGCCCTTATTTTGTATTTAATTTGACAAATAAGTATTGCTGTATTAGGATGAGATTGGGTGTGCCATTTCTCAATATTCTTATGATAGGAACTTAGGATTACAGTTCCTACAATTTATTACTTTAGGCATTACAAGAGTAGATCTGCTGTAGAATGTCTTAGAAAATGAAATTGAATCGGCAGCTCTTAATTATTTACAGAGCGATTGGGTACATATAAGCTTGAACAGAATTTAATGGGTCCCAAGTGTCTTTCTAGTTGTTATTTCCAGAATATGTTTAGTAACTTAACCTTGTTTCCCGCCATGCGAAAAAAGGAAAAGCAATGTTGTTATGGTAATTGATAATTTCTTGGGATTTTCAGGTCAAGAATGTGATAGAAAAGCCTCAAAATGATCATCTACCACTGATAGAAGCGAGCAGGTTGATAGCAGTTCCACTTTTACGTTTAGAGTAGCTTCCATCATGTTATACCAGTTGCAGGTATCATTTATCTAAGCATGAACTTGTTTTCATTTGTTTGATGGTGAAACTGCAGGTTGTGCAATATGGACATCATTTCACATGTACAGCAAGTTATATGCTTTGCGTTTCACGACAGTAGATTGCTCATGGAAACTTGTCAAGAGGCCAAAAATCTCCGCAAAATTGTGACTCTCTTCTACCTGGATTAAGCACCTCCTTCCCTTGTTCATCTGTCCATACATTTTGAGTGAGAGAAGGGGAGAGAGCGCTTCTATTTCTGTTTGTATAAAATTAGATGGAAGCGACCAAATATCAATGAAGTAGCTTGGAAGTTGATTAATTTGCTCATTCTGTCATTTTTTTTGGCTGAAGCCTGAGGTATCCCACACCGCGAAGGATAGGGCTAGTCCCTAGCAGGGTCCGGAAAGGTTAAAGGCATTTTAGTCCATCCTTGGCCACAATCAAATATTTCAATCCGTGATTGGAAGAGCTGTATTTTGTTAGTATATATTTTTATTTTGTTTTATGGTCTAAAAGATTAAATAATAAATATTTATGGGGCACGATAAATGGATATATACCATTTTCAAATGATTTATAAAATTCTCACTTATTGTGTATACAAAATATCTTGCAGAAACTCGAACAATCTTCACAAAAATAGCGAACAATAATTCACCGGTTTTTTATTAGTTTTGCAAATTTGTACCAGAACTTTTGCCGTATCAATGTACCATCAGCTACTGGAAATTCATGGAAGATATTTCAAAGATGTCCTCATCGACAGAACCGTCTTATGGCTATTTTGGTCCCACTAATATTGTGTATTGATTCAAATTAAATAAGGTGAATAAATGAAAGACCACTTACAAATGATAATTTAGAGCGATATTATTCATTCCTTTTTATTTTTCACAAATTCACACTTCTTTCAATTTTCGGCTATCAAATCGAATAAATTGAAAATGATCAAGTGACAGAAACTAACAAAGAGTGTGGATAGTAGCTGCATACGCACAAAATATGAGAAAAACGGAAAAATCACATTTTTCAAAAAAATTGTGAGCGATAACTCTTCTTTTTTTTTTTTTTTTTTTTTTTTTTCAGTTTTGCAAAGTTGTGTGCGTGCGACTCAATAACATAAGATCACTTGTAACACCAGGATTTACAAATGTTACAAGAAAATCATGAAATTTGTTATATAATATTCCTCTCCAAGTCCAAGTTAGGATCACATCAAATCAACAAAAAGTTTCTTGAAAGAATTTCAACAGCTGCGCCTTATACAACACCACGGTCACCAGTCACACTACTGTGAGTGTGACGAGTGCAACGATTGTAGAGTTGCAGCTGAGTTCGGGTGCTCCCTACATCTATCTACATGTATTGTATGCCAAAGTTTGAAATGTTAGAGAATCACCAAGAGACTTTAAACCTGTTGAACTGTAGACTTGCAGCTGCAACGACGGCATCCCCTGGCTTTAGATTAGATGGTCTTCTGCCCCTCCCTCAGCCGCGACTAAAACACAATATTATTGAGGCTTTAGAAAAATCCAAAATCTGAATAGCTGTTTGAAATGGAAGATACACTGTCATACTTTGAAGGAGCGTTTAAATAAGCGATCAGGAGGATGGAGGGAACCTTGGAGATGTTATCAATCACCTTCATCAGAGAAGTTGCCATCACTCTCTTGCTCGTAAATCTGGTATTCTTCGTCGCTTGTATGAGTTGCTGCTACATCTTGTTGTATTCCATCACCCCCTGCTTCAGAAGAGGGAAAACTACCAAAAAGTTCCTGTAAATGGGTTCTTGAGATGTTTTCCATGTTCATATCTAACAACATATAGGAAATCCACAAGAATTTGCATGACTTCAAACATTTGAAAACCGCCAATCCAAAAGAACTCGCAGTATTGCTTCAAAGTATGGAAAAATAAGTCCCAGAAAGAATCACTTTTTGGTTTCAAATCATGCCAAATTATCAATCTTTATGTATGAAAGATGCACAAAAAAGAAAAAGAAAATTGAACTGGACAGTTATGCTGTAAGGATACAGGAATGTGACTGCAGAGAAATTTCACCATCCTCAGCCTACAAACAAGTGAACATGAAATAAGTCAACAAAAACGAGGCACGCTTGAATCTTGATAATTTATTGAAAAGAAAAAAACTGTATAGAAACCGATATTAGAGAAGACAGTGATTTAACAGATAATTTGTTGAAGATAAAAGAATCAATTACCGCATCAATTCCATCATACGTATCTAATGCCTCTTCAACATTATCAGCCTCAGTGTCATCTTTCTCATCATCCTCAAGATTGTTGGGTTCTGCAGCATCTTCCTTGCCTATAAGTTCTAGATAAAAGTACTCAATAAATATCACCAACAATCAGTAAGTCCTACTATATTTAATCTCTAAAATTGTCTTTTTTGAAGGACCGCACTGAAAAAACATTCCAGTGATACAATACTTTGAAAGTTCTCGAAAACAGTCAGAAAATTTAAAAATATTAAACATGCTCTTAATTAAACAGTAATTTCGAAAGAAAACTAATAAAGAACCGGAACCCAGTCCACAAATGTAGTTTTCTGTTTGTACCAGCATTGTCTTCTGGCTGTATCACTTCAGCACGTATAAAGTTGTCTTTACTGCACATCTTCTTGGACTTTTTAAAGCTTTCCGTCGCAGCTTTAAGCAAGTGTTCTGAACCAGGTTCAGGGAACACAGATAGGAACCTCACCTTAACACGATCTTTCAAGTTCTCAAGCATGTTATATGAAAACCATCCCGTCTCAGACTGCAAAGAAATAGGCTAAATTCAAAGCTGGCCAATGTTGAAATTCTAATGGCCCAAATAAATAAAGGAACACTAAGTTAATATACTTCATTTCACTACAGTAAATTATGACTGTGCCGGATTAAAGAGATTCTCACAAAACATCATCAAACATTTAGAAGTTATGACCAATTGTACTTTTATATTATACAGGTTTTATGGTATGCAAATACATGAATTTGCATGGAAAAGCGACAACATATCTTGATTCTAGAAACTCACGGAGCAAGTTGTCTGAGCCGGAGGCTTCCTTATCTGTTCTTGAATGTAATCATCACCAAGTTCAAATAGTTGCAATGTTGTATGGCACTTGTAAGGGAACACTCGAAATGCACATATATCCTCCCATCTATGCTTTAGTCTGCACGAGTGACCCCAAAAAGAAAAAGAATAAGAGAACTTATTCGCATAGAAAACTTGTCATTCACATTAACAACGGGAAATTAGAACGAGTAAATTTGGTCTTCAAAGCTAGAACCAGTTGCAAGGCTCATCTTGAGTATCCTCCAAACAATGTATGGAAAGAAACACATAATTCTAAAAATTAATGATGGTACAGATACTAGGGCAAAAATAAGATGGTTGATGTTTCATAACAACCAATTACTGGACAACTCCGTAAGCACTCATTCAAGTCAGCATTGCTTTCTTTATTCAAACATAGTAAGAAAATGCCAAGAAACAACCTCTCTCTCCCTCAATTAATTGTTACACTAGATTTCGAACAAAACTAAAGAAAACTTTGAAGAGAAACTTACTGATTGGCTGAATTAGCATCACAGTAACTTTGTAATGGTGGTCTTACTCGATAATCAATTTTCTGATAGCTGCCGAAACAAAATATTACTATAAGCAAAAAAGGAGATAAATCTAGAATCAAACTAGGTGGTGGTGGAGGGAGTTCTTCTGCCCCCTTTCTGAATACATATTGTAATTAGGACTTTTCAGGTCCATCATTATTATCTTTTACAAAAATCAAAAGTAACAAACTTCCATATACAATTTTCCACTTTCCTTTAAATAATAACATTGTATGATGGAAACAGAAACCTACATACAAAAGAAATAAAAAAGCAGACAGTTGCTAAATACTATATGTGTAAGATGCTTTGTTTATAACTCACATTCGAGAATCAGGATCTTTGCGAGGATCATATCCTTTTTTTATCCAAAACCTAAGAAATGGTCCACGCGAAAAGTAGTATGCAACTCTAGAAAGAAGCCTGCAAGAACAAAATGACCTCAACCGACAGAACGAAGACTAAGACTAGAAGACTATAAGCTAAAGGAAAGACAACCTTCTGAGTATGTGATCTGAAAAGTTGAAGCCCTTATCAAGCAAGCGTTCGGTTAATGACTCTTTTGGCCATATAGGCCGCTCATCAAACAGCCGAGACAAGGCCATCTGTGACACCCACTGATCTGAGCCATGGGATATATATTCCTCCCAATTTGTTCTCTTAGGAATCTGTAAGAATGCTAAGTAGAAAAGATACACAGCTATGCAGGAACTTCATAAAGATTCCAATCTTGATGACTTTCATGCCATCAACTCTTATTATTATTCTTTTTGAGATAAATAAATAAACAAATTGGAAAATTTAAAATAACTCTCAGCAATAAATTACAACTAGCTTTCTAAAATTAACATTTAGGATATCACTGATGCCAAAGTCAAGTGCAAGAACTGGCTCCATACTCATCTGGAAAAAAGAAAATAATAATGTCAGTTTGAACTATCCACCTGGTTAAAACTTATCGAATAAGCTGAAACAAGAACCTTAACACTGGGGTCTAAGACTCATCTTGTACCCTCAAAAGAGCCAAATAAGCACAAATATCATAGCTTTTAGCATGCATATATTTAGCTATGCCATCAAAACAGTAGAGTAATTCAACAATAATATTCACCTCCCATTGGTGTTGCACAGGTTCTTCTTGATTCTTTTTTGCACTCAATGTCGCTGGTGGTTTCAACCTAAAAGGTAAGTACACTGCATACATTAGCACAGGAAAATTGAGCCATTTGTTTGAGGCCATCAAATAATATACCATCCAATAAGTTCCAAGTCTTATGATAAGAAACAAAGATTCCTATGAGAAAGAAGACGAGTACAAGAGAAGAAGGGCGGAAGTGCATCTAATCAGATACTATAACAAAACTTAACAAGATACAAGGAACACATAGCTCCCCAACTAATCAAGATCAAATACAATAAAGGGAATATTCTCATATGATTAGAAGTTTAGAACAAAGGTGCCCACATCCACATGTCTTCATAATACTTGATTTTAGCTCCTTGGAACCACCAATAATTGATAAAGTAAAGAAGAATAACCCCATTACATGACTTTAAGTAGTCATGAAGAAAGAATCATAACCAAAAACAAGAAGTTATCTCTGAAGGAAAATTGTGGTAACAGGATTATGCAAAGATAAAAATAAATTTCCAATATAAGAATAAAAAAATGCTAGAACATCTTACACTAAACTATCAGGCACATCCTTGGGTGCAAAAAGTTGAGGTAGTAGAATCATCACATCCTCCTGGTCAACATCCATAAGGCCACCCTTATCTACAAATAGATAGAAAATAATGTACAAGACGTAAACACACTCGCTAAGGTGAAGGAAAGAAAGATGTTACGAATATCTCCAAGCTACAAAAACTAAAAAGAATTGAAACCCAGAGACTTTACCAAAGTGTGGCTCCTCAATTTCTGTCCAATTTCTCTTTTTCTTCCGTGCAACATCAGCATGGACAGCAATGACATGCTGGTAGTCTACCATCCCTTTAAACATGTCAAAAGAGGAAAAGAAGCACCACTGAAAGTCAGTTCTGAAATGGCAGGAAAATTTAACGAAGTATATAATCTAGGAGATGTAACAGGTGTTGATGCAAGCAGGGCCACTCTAACCATCAAAGTGATACGCCTCTGGAACACGAGCAACAATATCAAAGTTTAATTGATCATTATCAGGTTTCCGCAATTCATCTTCTTTGCGGGCAAGTAGTTCACTTTCGGGTTCAGATGACTGTATGCCTTTGCCCAAGTCAGTTGCATCTTGCAAGGACCTTTTAAACGTCCTATCTGAAACTTGATCACTTTGTCCAGCACTAGACTTGGTTTTAGATATTTTGAGCAAAAAGTTGTTGCAAGGACGTAGGTCTCCAAATGCAGGATGTGCATATGGATCTTCGGGCCGGAAATGGAGCTCCAGCCTGCTTGACTGTGAAGTACGAGCCTGCAAGCCAAATGGTGAAACATCTCAACATGGTGACACAAAATGGTTAAAGGACTAGAGAATTAGTAAAGCGGGCAACTTGGCAGACCTTACGAATTGCTTCGGTCCCTCCTAGTGTCTCGATGGCACGGGACATGGACGAAGGATAACCGGGATAGTGGATGGCGAAAACTTGTTTGCTAGGGAGAAATCCGGTGGCGGCGCCATCTTTCACGACCCCCATTGTAAAGGTTACTGTTGCAGAGAAAACCAAGCTAATCTAAACAATTCAAAACTACCCAGTAGTACCTACATCATCATTGAATTAGACCAAAAAATAAAAAGTTAAACTTGACATGTTAAGATGGACAGTGGACAACCATAATTCATCTTCAATGGAATATAATTACCAAGAAAGAATACTCATCAAGTTCAATAATTTAAAACAAAAAGGAAAATAAAACTTAAGAAGAAAGTAGAAAGCATGAATATGTTGATGTAGAAACACTACCAGACTACCAGGCAGGCAGCAACTAGGTTGTCTTCTTCTTTAATTATTCCAGCCCCCTCTCATGGAGGCGCAGGGAGAGAGAGAGAGCGAGCGAGAGAGAGAGAGGCGGCGTTCGCAAGGGCAACGGGACTGGCAGAGCCGCAGAGGCGGGGAAAGGACGGAGGGGAGGTGGGGAAATTATTCTATGTAACTGAGATACCCTACCCCGGTGCATCGGCCAATTATATTTTGACACGTCGTTAAATTTTTTTGAAACGCGAGGACACGTCACCTTAAATTCCCGAGTTCCGAGGGAGTTTTACTGCCAGAACTCCGGTGCAAACATGTCCGTCGGAAGGAGGGAGGACCGGTTGGCACGCGGGCTAAGAGAGAGGGTTGGCTTGGCTGCTGACTAAATTCCTCTCAGAATACTAGCAACTGGCTCTCCTGCGAGTCCAGTCCAGTCCAGTCCAATCTGGCTTACCAAACAAGAGCTATCAGCAGAGGCTCCAATTTCCTCCTCTCATCATGCATTAGGAATCTCAGTCTCAATCCAAATCTTGTGGGTTCGATTCCCAGGAGAGGCCTCCTTGCTCGCGCGAACCAAACAAGGCTGATGAGGAAGAGAGAGGAAGAAGATGCCCACCAGAACCCTCCCGCCGTCGACAAGCTTCAGCAAGTCGTGCACAGCAACTCTACAGGTAGCTACCCATTCGATTTTCTTTAAGAATAAGGTGATAAATTGGGTTTCCTGATTGGGATTGATGGATGGGTTTTTGGTTTCATAAGGCGGTTGGGACAAGTGCTGGGAGCAAGGTTTGACCCCTTGGGATTTAGGGCAGCCAACGCCCGTTATTTCCCATCTTCATCGGACGGGAGCCCTTCCCAAGGGCAGGGCTCTTGTCCCTGGATGTGGCACTGTATGTACTATTCTACTCATTACTCTCTAGTCATTACACTATTCTCAGTAGGAATTCGATTACGAGTTGTTTGCATGATGGCAGGGATATGATGTTGTAGAAATTGCATGTCCTGAACGCCATGCCACTGGATTGGACATTTCAGAGAATGCCATTAACAAAGCTCTGGAGGTAAGAGTTGACATATCCACTCCATTTTCACTTAACCAGAGGTCAATCGCCCGTCGGCCATGAATAATATGTACTCTTTTCTGATCCTTTTTAGTTAGATTATGAGGTCCTACTTCAAATTTCTGTTTGAAATGTCATGGCAGTTGTTTTCCTCACTTCCCAAAGCACGGTACTTTACCTTCTTAAAGGTGGACTTTTTCACTTGGCATCCAACTGAATTGTTTGATCTCGTTTTTGATTATACGTAAGGTTACTTGAAACACTCTGCATTTTTTTTTTCCCATGAGGAAGACCTTTTGATTGATCGCGTCTTATGGTACAGGTTCTTCTGTGCTGTTGAACCAGACATGAGATCTGCATGGGCGCAGAAGATTGCAGATATCTTAAAACCAGATGGGGAGCTCATAACACTGATGTTTCCTGTATTAACTTTTCTCCCTTCATTACCTCTCTCTCATTGTGTGTATGTGTGTGTGTCTCTGTTCTTTGTTAGTATTTCCTTCTTACAATGAACATGAACGCATCCATCTGATAATAGAAGGGATCCGGTTTTGATTATCATTTGTGGTAATAGCTCATTTCTTTTTGCATATTTATTTCTTCAAGTTTTATTGAAATTTTGATTAGTTAAAATTTTCGAATTTTAATATTTATGTTTATACATAGTTTGATAGTCTATTGATAAGTAAATTTATCTGATGGCAGACCAGTGATCATATTGGTGGACCACCTTACAAAGTGTCAGTTTCAGAGTAAGCTCCAACTCCATATCCTGTTTTACAATCTTTTAGGTACTGAACTGGTGTTGCTATTGATCACATACAAATGATACTGTTTTTACTTACAAGACTGTAGTCTATACTGATTATTCTTGATTCTATTTTGTGCAGTTATGAAGAGGTTTTGCATCCCCTAGGCTTTAAGGCAACCTCCATCTTAGACAATGAACTAGCTGTCCGACCTCGCAAGGTATGTAACATGTAATCTAGTTAAATTGGATATGTGACTGCCAAAGTTTAGAAGTCATACTACAAGGTGAAATAAATGATTATAAATATCAAGTACCAAAAACATCACAAATATATCAGCCTTGGGGTGAGTCCACCTACCTCGTCGAATTGAGACGATTATGTAATGTAGATGCTGGCCTATGGCTATTAGTATTATATAGGCAATATGAAATGTAATCGCAGACGATTATGTTAAGTACATAGGCAGCCGAAATCCCTGTCACTTCTCTTGGGGTGAGAACTTGCCTCTCCGGAGTTATGCTGTCAGTATCGCTCCAACAAGATTAGTAAGGTCGAATTAATCCTTGGTAATCCAAGTAGCATTTGATAAGACCCAATTTGATCAGGCTAGAATATGATCCTGAAGTACATCCGCGGTCTCATCTTAGCATAGGAACAGAAGTAAGATTGTAACTGTCATATATGAGGGACAACAAATAAACATACATTAGGTCTAAACTTATGAGGACAGGAAAAGGTTCGTTGCCCCCGTCCAACTATTTGAAGGAATCTTTAGGATGAAGCTCAGGTGAACATGAACCATAAAAAGAGTCACCCAGATTAAATTGTGATTCCTCCATTGCACAGAAGTACTCGGAAGCCTCTTAGTTTAGTAGGAAAATCACAAACAATTGTGTAAAGCTGTAAAGGTTCCAGAAAACTCAAAAGGAAGAGAGTTGAGTGGCAAAGGTGCGAGATCAATTGGCAAGGGGAAAGACCATGAGCAGTGTGAACTGGTTGTTACAAACCAAACTTATCATTAGGAAACATCTACCCCGTTTACATTGTCAATGACCTTAACTTTGATTATCCTAAGGGTGCATATGGACGAAGACTACAGATTTGTGCTTGATGCTGATACGCTCTTTGTTCATCTGTGCTTGCGGAGATACACCGAAGTTACTAGCCTTTTGGTTGCTTTGAACTTGTGTTTATCTAGACTCTAGTCTTCTACTATGAAAGCTTCGCTTCAGTTGATTTGGAAATAATCAAGAACACAGTTGATGTTTATTGAGTTTTAAAAGAAATCTGGATTACATTTTTCAGGGAAGAGAGAAGCTAGGAAGGTGGAAGAGGTATCTAAGCAAATCCTCTCTCTGACAATGGCCGGCGTCAGTTGTTTTCCCCTTGCCTCTAAGGAGTTATTAGTCTGCTAAAGCAAAGCATCTGCAGCAATTTTTCTTTCAATCTAAATAATTGGTCAGTGTTTAAGGATCCCTGGAAACAGAGGGTGATGTGGTGTACGTTTGAGCCTATTACTCTCCCCAGACTTTGTCGAAAGCTTCAAGCATAAGGCTGTATATTGAATTGGATGACAAGAAAATAAATGCTCAATATTGTGTAATAATTTTGTTCGTGGTTCATTTCGAATCTGTAAATGCGCACAAACAATCCTTTTGCTCCAGAACACCGGCTTCTTGTACGTAGTTAAATTTTAGAATTTATATATATTGTTTATCGCCGGACTGATTGCTGCCGGATGCTTTTAAATTTTAAAATTTGTGTAGTAAATAAATTAAGTCACGTTTATTTAACAGCAAACAATATGGTAGTGATTGTAGTGGTGGTGGGCAAAAATTCAGCCTCTAAAATGTGTAAAAGGAAGGCAAAGTTGGGTTGACACACCTGACACGTGTACGGTCAAATTGTAGGCGCATGGTCCACGGAGGAGAGGAGAGCACAATGCACTAATGCAGTGCATTCATTGGCTATGGAATATAAGCCCCTCCTAGTTCTGCGGAGGCCTCTCTCTCCCCCTCGCTCTCTTCGCCTTCCAACCAATCCAACCAATCCAACCAACCAACGAACGTGCTCTCCTCTCCTCTCGGACCCCCCTTCCCTCCCATCCTTTTGCAAGTTTAGAGTTAGACCCCTTCTTCTGTCTCTCTCTCTCCTCTTTTCTCCTCTCTCTCTCTTCTGGTTTTGTTCTCCTCTTTCTTTCAATTCTGATGGATTTTCTACATTTTTCGTGATGATATTCATCTCGTTCAAGTAAAGATTCTCTGTTGGCTAGCAGCTCATTGTTAGCTAGCTCTTCATATATTCGTCAACCAACATTACAACATCTCTTAGTTAACTGATTAGTACTATGGAGGAGAGAAGTGAGGACGACGTCAGGGACGCATTGGCCGGCCTAAGCAACGCCCCTCCGCCCCGCAAATCCCATTCGTTGAGCCATCAGCTGCGCCCAACCTCCGCCCAAAAACGCCACCACCAAATACGCAAACATAGCCTCGACGACGTCCACGTTGTCCCCAAGAGCGTCCATAACAATAATAATGTGGACTACTACGACTCTTCTGACGACGATTTCTTTCCTTACTCCACCTCCAACAGCAGCAGCACCACCACCACTAGTAATGCTGTTGGCGGTGCTGATTACGAAGTGTACGTGGGCGGCACTCACTCCCATAGGCTGGACCAGAGCCTCTGCATGGATGATGGTGATGATCCTGATGGCAACAGAGAATGCCAGCCGTTGCCCGAATTCATTGGCAGTGGCGGCGGCACTGGCATCTTCAAGGTTCCAACTCGAGCCTCTGTCCATCCTGGTCGTCCCCCCTGCTTGGAGCTGAGACCCCACCCTCTCAGGGAGACACAGGTCGGCAGGTTCCTCAGGACCATTGCCTGCACCAACACCCAGCTGTGGGCTGGCCAGGAGGGCGGAGTCAGGGTCTGGAATTTAAAGGACGTCTTTGAACCTGGCTTTGGTATTACTAGCAGAGTCATGAGGGGCGATGAGGATGCTGCCCCATACTATGAATCCGTCAACACCTCTCCCACCCATTGTCTCACGGTTGATACCGGCAATCGCTTGATTTGGACTGGCCATAAGGATGGCAAGATCAGGTCTTGGAAGATGGACCAGTCTTTGGATGCTTCTACTCCTTTTAAGGAAGGTCTTTCCTGGCAGGCCCACCGTGCTCCTGTTCTTGCCATGGTTTTCACTGCTTACGGTCAGTCACTCACTTGTTACTCTTCATCAAGTGCTAGTGTATTGCTTGGTGTTTTTTTAACTTTCCCATGTAAATGTTAATATATATGATATCATGTTGCTTTGATTGGATGCAGGTGATATGTGGTCAGGTTCCGAGGGTGGTGTTATCAAAATCTGGCCATGGGAAACCATTGAAAAATCTCTCTCCCTAAAACCCGAGGAAAGGCATATGGCAGCTTTGCTGGTGGAGAGGTCGTGCATTGACCTCAGGAGCCAAGTTACTGTTAATGGCGTCTGTAGTATATCTTCTCAAGATGTCAAGTGTTTGGTTTCTGATAATTTCAGAGCTAAAGTTTGGTGTGCCGGTTCTATGTCCTTCTCCTGGTGGTTAGTTTTCAATTTGACACCTTCTTTGTGTTAGCGGTGTGTGTGATATGTGTGTGTATTGCTACATGTTTTACACGGTTAACACAATTCATGTTTTTGTATAATGATCAAGAAAGGGAAGAGGAAAAACCTGCGATTTTCTGCAGAATTTCACTCTTTCAGTATTGTATGTTTTCAGGGAGATGTTAAAGTTTCAGGGTGTATCGTTGCTTAGGTAGAGATTCTAATATATAATTTTCATTGGAATTATTCTAAAAGGTTTTGATTTGTCAGGGATGCTCGTACAAGAGAGCTTGTGAAAGTCTTTAATGTAGAAGGTCAGATTGAGAATCGAGTTGACATGTCAGCAGTGCAGCAAGATCAAGCAGTAGAAGATGAGATGAAGGTAAAATTTGTTTCAACATCCAAAAAGGAGAAATCCGGGGGCTTTCTACAACGGTCGCGTAATGCTATAATGGGAGCTGCAGATGCTGTTCGACGAGTTGCAACAAGAGGGGCTGGAGCATTTGTAGAAGAATCCAAGAAGACAGAAGCGCTAGTGCTAACTGCGGATGGCATGATATGGAGCGGATGCACAAATGGTTTACTGGTTCAGTGGGATGGAAATGGTAACCGTGTGCAAGATTTTAATCACCATTATTCTGGTGTCCAATGCTTTTGCACTCTTGGGACACGAATATATGTAGGCTATGTGAGTGGCATGATTCAGGTATTGGATCTTGAGGGAAATCTGATTGCAGGATGGGTTGCACACAGTAGTCCAGTGATAAAACTGGCCGTTGGAACTGGTGTTGTTTATAGCTTGGCCACCCATGGTGGTATTCGCGGATGGCACATCAAATCTCCAGGACCTACAGACAACTTGATACGTACAGAATTGGCTGCAAAAGAAAGTGTATATGCCAAAAGAGACAATGTTAGAATTTTAGTAGGCTCATGGAATGTTGGTCAAGGAAGAGCATCTCAGGATGCACTAATGTCATGGTTGGGCTCTGCTGTGCTGGATGTTGGCATTGTAGTTGTCGGGTTACAAGAAGTAGAAATGGGCGCAGGCTTTCTTGCAATGTCTGCAGCAAAAGAAACTGTAAGATCCTTCAATGATGTTGTGAACTGCTTATTTTTTACTTTTGACAGATACAAAATCTCTATTCGTTCTATGGATGGATTGATTTATTTACCATTATTTTCCTTTTGTAGGTAGGGCTTGAAGGGAGTTCTGTTGGCAACTGGTGGCTTGATAATATAGGAAAGGCCTTAGAAGAAGGAAAAACTTTCGAACGTATGGGTTCTAGGCAGCTCGCTGGCTTGCTCATATCTCTTTGGTAAGCGATTATCCTTGTGGATCTTGTCCTCATATATTTCTTTCCTTTTATGAGCTCATAATCCTCATATAGGGTAAGAAAGAATCTCAGAACACATGTTGGGGATATTGATGCTGGAGCAGTTCCGTGTGGCTTTGGTCGTGCCATTGGTAACAAGGTTTGTTCCTCACCGTTCACAGTGCTCATTTGGCATGTATACAGAATTAAATATAGAATGGAGTCAGTTTGATTGTCTGCTCAGTTTCTTAAACATATCGGTTTCTTATTCCTTATGAAAAAAGGGCACTGAACAGACTAATTATGTTCAAGCAGGGAGGTGTTGGTTTGAGAATCCGAGTCTATGATCGTATAATGTGCTTTGTGAACTGTCATTTGGCTGCACATTTGGAAGCTGTCAACCGCCGTAATGCTGATTTTGATCACATTTATCGAAATATGGTCTTCAACCGGTCATCTCTACTTAACACGGCAGCTGGTATGCTACCATACCTGTTTTTGTCTTGTTCTTGCCTTCTCTACATATTTATTCTGGCTGCTTTATTCTTCTGGCTTGCCATGGGTCCTCTCTCTTGCAGCTGGTGTCTCAACTTCTGTTAATATGTCCCGAGCTCCAAATGTATGCACTTGTTCTAGTTCGTAAATCAATCCTTTTATCCATAATTTTATATTTATTGGCCAAGTGTTAAACAATTGGTGATTTAGGCTGTCAGCGGCAACACTGAAGATGTAAGGCCTGAATTAGCTGAAGCAGATGTGGTTGTTTTTCTCGGTGATTTCAATTATCGGCTTTTTGGTATATCTTACGATGAAGCAAGGGACTTTGTTTCACAAAGATGCTTTGATTGGCTCAGAGAAAAAGATCAGCTCAGAGCAGAGATGAAAGCCGGGAAAGTTTTCCAAGGGATGCGTGAGGCACTCATCAGATTCCCTCCAACATACAAGTTTGAAAGGCACCAAGCAGGTTTAGCAGGTATTTGGTCTAGCGGCAGTCAATTTCTGCATTACTATTAACGCTCTTGGTTTCTCTTACACGAGTAAATTGTGCATATCTGTGAAATTGAATTTTCCAGTGTGTTGATTTGAAACTTTGTCTATGCATCCTTTACAGGATATGATTCTGGTGAGAAGAAACGCATTCCTGCCTGGTGCGATAGAATAATATATCGTGACAATCGGCCATTACCAGTTGCTGAGTGCAGTTTAGAGTGCCCTGTAGTCTCGTCAATTATACAGTATGTTCTTCTTCAGGGATAGTTACCTATAGTCTCTTTTCTTCAATTGCTCTAAACTTGGTACCCGATTTTATATAGGTATGAGGCACGCATGGACGTGACTGACAGTGATCACAAACCTGTCCGGTGCAAACTAAGTTTACAAATTGCACATGTTGATAGATCGGTAAGGAGAAAGGAGTTTGGGGAAATTGTAAAATCCAATCAGAATATCAGGTCTAATCTTGAAGAATCAAATTATGTTCCAGAAACTATTTTGAACACCAACAACATAATCCTTCAAAATCAGGACACGTCCATTTTGCGTATCACTAATAAATGTGTAAAGGATACTGCCGTATTTAAAATCACTTGTGAAGGCCAGTCCACTGTCAAGGAGGATGGGGAAGAGCTTGACTATCGCCCGAGAGGTGCCAACGGGTTTCCTCGATGGCTTGAGGTATCACTTTCTCCCTGCTGCTTCTGTTATGTCCTATAAATTTTCTTTTCCTTTTTGGAGTGGAAAATGCAGGCGTCTATTCTTCTAATTTACTTCTTTTGTTTTTTTAAACATAAAATAATAGATCACACCAGCAGCAGGCATGATCAAACCTGAACAGTCTGTGGAGGTCTCAGTTCATCACGAAGAGTTTCATACCTTGGAAGAATTTGTTGATGGCATCCCTCAAAATTGGTGGTGCGAAGACACCCGCGACAAGGAAGCGATTTTAATGGTCAGTGTCCAAGGTAGTTGCTCAGCTCAAACATGTAGTCACAGAGTTCGAGTGCGGCATTGCTTCTCAGCCAAGACCCGCATGGACTCAAAATCCAACAGCTCTAAAAAATGCCAGGGAAGTCCAGTTCAGAGGTCTGAAGTTCGGCAACCTAACATTTCAAGCGAAACCAACTTAAAAAATCCTAGAAGCTAAGCTAGTATCGAATACTTGATAGCATGAGGCAGTTTATAGAAACATGGATCATCAGCTGGTAACAGTGAAGATGGATCTGATACAATACCGAGTGCATTCTTTTCGTTAGAAACTCTAGTGTAAAGCAAAACATGGTGTAAATACTCTCTTTGAAGCCTGTTGTTTACTTAAAAGACAGTTTAGGGACAGGTTTTATACGTTCAGTGTCATGCCATCTCTCTCTGCATTATCCTGTCTGTTTTCCTTCAGGCTTCGTAGTTTATTTCCGATTTGTTTCCGATCAATAGATAAACGCAGAAAAACAAAAGAGACGAACTGAACAATATGATGTGAAAAGGGTAGTCGATATTATTAATTATAAAGATCAACTGTTATTACAATACTTTGCAGACAACACAAGATAATGTATAATCTTCTAATACTTGAACAACAGCAGTTGGCAACTTGGCATGGAACATTCATTCAGTTCGGTATCTGCAACAGCCTCACAGGCTCACAGCCCTTAAGGATCAAACAAACCATGGATGTCTGAACTCATAGCAGAGACGGTAACCACATACCACACACAGAAGAACCATGGAGAGATCACAAATGACGAATGAAGCAGATACATGTGTCGTCCTTTTACTTGCTCAACCGCGATACTCTTACTTTCTTCATATATACTCCATATTTCTAGTTTAAGAGATAGATGCTTCACATCAATTCAGATACTTAAAATCTGAATCGGATTGTGAAGCCACAGGTCACCCGATCCGTTGTGTTTCATTTCTCCCAAATGAAACTTAAAGCGCATACATCCTCTTATATTCGCTGTTCAAAATCTCGTGTTCTGATGCCATAGACATAGAGAACGAACGAGACTTACTCTCAGCTCTCCGGATGTTCCTCATTTTGCTCTCCTCTATCCTATGTAAAATGACACAATAGCACATGGAGCCAATGGTAGTAAGCATGATTGTGCTGCCTATTACTGTTGCATACACTGCAAGCCACCTCGAGTGTGAGCCCACCACCACATACGTCAGAGAAATAAAAGCAATCGAAATGAAGAGGCAAGCTAGCCACATGAGCTTGTTAATCACAAACACAAGCTGCTTTTTTGCCTTCTGCTCAATCACCACCACAGATGTCTGGACTACCACAACAGCCAGGGAGATGAAGAGCGCCAGGCTGTCAAATACAAAGAAGATGATGAAAGCGGCATTATTTGCTATGTGCGCTTGTCCAAGCGTAAGCCCTGTCGTTTCTTCCTCAACATATTGGCCAGGAACTGTGAATATGGCTGCAAAAGCAACAGTGGCAATCAGCACGGCAACAATAGTGGCATTGTTTATAGCATTGTTGAGGCCGCTAATGTGGAGCTTTTTCAACTTTTTTGCAATTTTCTGGACTCTGGCACCAGTTTGGCGGGTCTGTTGAAGTTGGGATTGGACATCGTGCTTTATGTCACTCACAGTCTGCTTCAGCTGCTTTGCTGGATTTGCAGGTTTTCCTTGGTCTTTAGAATTGGTGGCCCCTGCTTCCTTTAACACGGCCACAAGTTCTGGACTCCCATATTTTTCTGCAATGTCAAGGGGGCTCTCTCCAGCCTTGTTGCTTGCATTGATGTTACTACCCTCTTTATTTATGGACAACAGACGGCGTACATTCTGCACATGAAGTACATGAGAACATTGAGCAAACAAAATTATATTACCAGCTAGCTTGCAGATTTTCAGATTGGTTCGGTTCAAATGAACTCGAAATCACATAGGAGAACTACAGGTGTTGCCATTACCACATACGAATATCATACACCAATTAAGCACCAACTATGAAAGTACCATACCATTCTTCAGAGTAAAGCTGTAGCATACATTTTGAGTAAAAATATCAGCATGGACATAATATTTAACATGATTTCTCGAGACCTATACAAATGGAAGCTAGACCCCATACCTAGTATAGAAATTTGGATTTAAAACGATGAAGACTTGAATCATTGATATTATACATTTCATTAGGTTAGTAAATAAAATTGAAAGAAAAGAAAGGAGGAAGCACCTCAATACGGCCCTTCCTTGTGGCAATGTGCAATGCATTGTTTCCCTTGTTATCTTCCACAGTCAAAACTGAGGGGTCGGGTTTCAGCAACTCCAGCACAATCTCCTCATTGTGCCCCTTCACGGCCATGTGTAGTGCAGTTTGGCCTTTAAGATCAGTTCTAAAAGCAGCACTTGGATCCTTGCGTAGTAAGGACTTGACTACTTCCAAGTGCCCCATCCTTGCTGCTGAATGAAGCACAGTCTTTCCATTATTGCGGGCTATCTTGGCAAGATTTGAGTCAGTTTCCAAAAGGAGATTTACAATATTAATATGCCCCTGAGTAGCAGCTGTGTGTAAGGCGGTTGAATTCGATAGATCTGTGGTCATTGCCAGGTTTGGGAACACATGCAGAAGTTCTTTCAACACCTCTGAAAGAAAGAAACAATTTCAAATCATAATGACGCACATGACGAAGGAATATTATGTGATGGTCTCCTAAACATAATTAGGCTCTTATAGGTCACCAGACGCATAAGGTGACAAGTAAAGTCTCTCTCTGTGTGTGTGCACGCGCGCGTGCATGTGAGTGAGGAAGGCACAGTTCAGAAACATTTCAAAATCCAGCTTCAAGAAGATAATATGTTTTTCTGTAACACCGAATTACAAAAATTGTGTTCCTTTTTTCCATTGCATATGAAATGAACATTATAGAACTGCTTCTATTAAAATATTATGAATTTCAACAAATGAAATGGATATTCATACTACTATCTTACCAAGATGGCCCTGTCTTACAGCAATGTGGAATGGGTCGTAGCCATTTCTGGCGGCGATGGATGCAGTTTGAAGGTCCATGTGCTTCAACATTTCCCCAACAACCTCAGCATGCCCATTCTCCGCTGAGGCATAGAGGGGGGTCTCTCCCTCCTGGTTCATCTTCGACAATAAACCAATTGACTCAGTGCTGTTACAATTCTGAAGAATTTCTCTGACTCTAACTAAATTCCCTGCTCGAGCTGCCAAATGGAGTTGGGAATCACCTCTTTTCCCCGGTGACTCTTTGCTCCTCCTCCGTTCACCGCCAATAAAGCTCAGCTGCTTCTCCATAACTATCCGAAAACTCTTCTGCTTCTCCATAAACCCGCGAAAACTCTTCTGTTTCTCCATCGCTCCTCGAGAACTTGACTGTTGCTCGATTGCCCCACTGAAACTTGGTAGTTTTTCCATCCTTGGAGCCTGAAAACTGCTCTGCCTCTCCATGACCAATTTCGCAGAAACCGGTTGATCTCAAACAAAATCCAACTTCCTAGTCCTCAGAATCCTGATTCTCAAATCTCAAATTCTACTTTTCCATGATCATAACCAGATAAACAATTTCAACCAAATTTATTTCCTTACAGTAAACTAATAATCACAATTCTGCAGATATATAGCATCTCAAGAAATATGCTTTCCAATCTCTACTTAATTATTGGAATTCCAGTTCTTTGATCCAAAAAACTACTTAACCAAACTGAAACTCGCCAATTTGGAATATCAAAACCCGTTGAATAATGAAAACAACAGAACCCAGAAAGGAATCTAAATCCAAATCCAACAGATGACAAGAAACAAAAGTTGTATACCAATTACAAAGTACCTTGATTGTGAAGCTTTATACCTTATTCTAGTGCTCTGAATCCGAAAAGCTAGAACCTTTAGATACCACGCGGCTGAGGCTGAAACCCAAAACCAAAGGCTGAGACTTTGATCAATGATGGGGTATCATCACTATCACCTTATCAATGAGTAACACAAGAACCACACCCCACCAACAAATTTCTTTTCTACTCAACTCGTACAAAACTACATGAGAATCGAGATTCTATAAGGAGACAAACAGCAAGGACAAACGACTGCTGACAACACCATCTATAATTCTATAAATGATACTCGGGAGAGGAGACTCAGTGGAGGAGAGTCCATGATGCTTTTCACTTCCAAGTAAAGATAATGTCTTCTATACGGTCATTATGAGTAAAAAAAAATAATAATAATAAGATACTAGAGTGTGTTTAGTCGCATAATAATATAGTTTAAATTTACTTTTGACGATAATTGAATTTAAAATTTTTTATTTACCAATGAAGAGTAATACTATTAAAATATACTACTAAATAGCTAATGTTTTTTCTATTAAAAACGACGAATGTGTTTAGGGTGAGATGTATATCTCTACTTGGCCCCATTCATGCCATACCCATATGCATAAGAATATCCGTCCACAATAATGGACATATATCAAGGGATCAGTATTTGACATTTAAAGGGGGAAAAGGACTTTATTCTTTTCCAAATCAAATATCTCCAGTCCAGTGAGATAAATAATCACACAAATACATAATAATTAGAGATAATATAGAATTTTTTTTGTTTTTGTCTTGCAAGAGTTGTATTGAGAAGAAGAAATAAAGAAGGATACATGATACATGTGCATCCCCATAATTGAAGAGGAAAAGAATCATTCCCAACTTTACACACACACACACACACAAAGAATTAATAATTAATACAGAGGATAAGTGACCATCTACCACAGTGGTGGAGAGGAATGATGTCTTTGCACCATGGTGAGTTCAAATCTCGTCGGCTTCCTAATTTAATATTTAATCTAACAAATCTATTATTTAATAAACAAATTAATGTAGAGGCAAAGGGAAGTAATATATATACATACGTATATGTGTTGTATATGTTGATCAATCAGTATCCTTAAAACATAAAGAGTTGTTAATAAACAACGAATAAGTGGTGATAGCAACAAATATAAGTATATTGAAAAAGAAAAATTGCAGAAGATGCATGGCATGTGGAGTGTGGAGACACTCCTTGTGGGCACCCCCGGGCCACAATGTGGCAAAGGTCCCTTCCCTACGAAAGGGAAAAAGAACAAGTTAAAAGAACAAACGGCTCGTTCCGCAGACGGAGAGCTAAACAATACAGAAAAGAAAACCAAAGAATAAGTGGAGAATGAAAATGCGACTTCAAATTCCCTTTAAAATTATGGAGTTTTAACGAAAAACTCACGGTATTGTTCACTTTAACAAAAAATCACATTTTTACACTAAAAAATCAATCATGTTACTATTCATTTTACCCTTTATTTTGTTCTTATAATTAAAACTCAAAGTTTTCAAACATTTTTTATTAGTTTTCCTTTAAAATTAACATATATAAATTGGTAGTTGATCGAATAGCAGTGGCAGACCGGCAGTACTCAATCTATGTATGTCCACAAATCACAGATCCTCATGGCTAAATGAGGAGTTTGTGTCAGGTATAATGAGCACACCCCAAACAATATGCAAACCGCAAAGTTTAGACCATCTTCAAAAGAAATGTTAAATTTTAATTAAAATGTCAACTAATCACTTTTGACGGTAAAATTGCTCCAACCGAACAGTACTTTAGCAGACCTGGAATGGCAACAAGGCTTCTAGCGTCAATTTCAACACTACCTTAATTTGCATTTTATTTATTTTTTTAATTGGTACGTCCCATAATCGACCTGAATATAAAGCTTTAAAAAATATTTTACTGTTTATTTTATTATTATGGTAGTAAAATAATAATTAACATACTAGTTGGAATACAAATAAATTTGATAGCATGCTTCAAAATAAACACATCAACCATCAATTAAGAATTTGAATAAAAAAATTAACATATTTATTGGAGATGCTGGGTAAAAAGAAGTCAATAGAAAATTAATTATTTAGTTGTTTACAAAAACAATTAATTATTTTGCTTACAACAACTAAAATGGCTTAAGAGAGTTGAGGCCAATGTTGTATGGTACTATGAAGCATGTGAATAACAATCTTCGACAAAAAAAAAATGTGAATAAGAATCCATTTGAATTTTCAATCCCAAGTTTGAAAATATATAAAGTCGGAAGGAATTTGATGAATGGAACTTTGTTGATAATGACTGCCAGCTGCATTGAATTATTCATCAATCCTACAGCTCTTATTGGCTCAACTTACATGAATCAAAATTCGAATCTCTCTTCCTCTTTTCAACGGTCTAAATTTCTTGATTTATAATTTAGAACTACGAAATCCATAATAGATCTGAATTTTATGCTGGCACTTGATAAAGGTCAATGACGTAGGTCTCACAATTACGTAGGCAAATAAAAAAACAATTTGGATATTGTATAGGATAATAATAATTAGACAAATAGATAGTATAACAATTTGGAGAGAAACATGAGCTGCTCTGTAATCTAGTAATATACATTAGGATAATGCTAGAAATATTAAATTTTCAAACTAAATTATGTAAATTTAATTTAAAATTTTAGTTTCTTTAACATTACTATATTGTACATTACAAATATGAGATTAAAGAGGAACCCCTCTTTCTCTCCAAACCTAAACTTTTAGGAGTCTTCCAAAATTTTAACTGTAGATTACAATATATGAAATTTAATTTGATTTAACCTAATGAAAAACATTAAACTTTTAACTGTTTGTAGATTAATCTACTTTTGTTTCATTTCACATATGTATTTTATCTTTTAATGCTAAGTTTAAAAAAGGCATATGTGTGTGACTGTGTGTGCAAACTATGAAGTTGACATGTACCTAATGTTTGTTGAAGGAAGATGACATAGCCATTGGCATATGTAATTATACAATTAGTTAGGCATGCAGTCCTTTTTGACTGAGTATCAAGATCCGAGACTGCGCGCGGCGGTTCTCCATTTTTTATTTCTTTCTCTCTTGCTTTCCAGTCAAATAGGGTTACGGACATTCGTGTGCGAGACATGATGATGATTCTCTTACCAGAACAGGGCCAGTCGGTCAAATAACACAAAAAATTCTTGAGTATTTCGGAGTATCGGTGTGATAGAATAGTTAAATATTTCAAAGATTTTAATCGTTAAACTTTTAATTTTTATACTTCTACATAAAAATTAGCAATTAAAAATCTGAAATATCCAAAAAAATCCCCAAATACCCTCAAAACTTGTGTGCAAATTATAAGCATCAGCATATCATCATCTCAAACGATCAAAGTTAAGTTTTGATCGTACGTGCTGATTCCGTAGTTATCATCTAATTACTTAAAGTGCATGTTTGAGATCATCACCTTCATTCGATTTCAATCTGATGACTGTACTGCTGATTTCTCTACTTATTCTAATTAAATTGCGTTTGACCAGTGATCAATCCATATCTATTTTATGTTGAAAATCAGTTGACCAGCGACGTTGGATCCATATTTTACATGGGTTCATTAATTAATGCCTTAATGGTCAGTTTTAAATTGAATAATTTGCAGTGAAGGACGTTATATGAACATATATATATTAATATAATTTATGACAAATTGCTTAAAATCGGTATAACAAACTGTTTAAAAGAATTTAGTTCATATACAAATTGAAAATGTTATATAAGTTCATATGATATTTGAGAAAATTTCCTATTTGTAATTTATTTAATCTTGCATCATCAAATACGGATGCAACTTGTAATCAATTTAGATTTTGATTAAAAATAAATTTTACATGACAGAATTAAAAAGATTTTAATAGACTCTACAATTCTATATAAATTTTTTGTTTAAAAAAAAAAATTCTATATAGATTTTGGCAGATTCTTACTTTATCTTCTATTTGGTACGGGGTGAAAATAAATCAGAGGGAGAGGGTTGGGTTTTTAATGACATTTGGTATTTATACTACCCATCCTCAAATCTATCAAAATCCCTCGCCCATACCTAGACATTTGTGGACTTTTTTAAAATCATAATTGACTACCTCTAAATTTGGATGTATTTTTTAAAATCCTTTTAACTCCTAATTTGACAATACCATGATTTCAAAATCTTTGATGGTCTTTTAGAATCCTAATTGACTACACCTATTTTAAAATGTATTAAAATTTCTATCAAATCCTAATTTGACTACACCTTCTTAATTTCTTCTTTGTGATGGGAATGAAGCTGATACAATATCGGTATTAATTAATTTAACAAAAACTCATTACAATATTTCAGAAATTCGATACGTAGAGATATATCCACTTTCAATAGGATTGATATACTCCAAGCAACACTCAACCATGGAAGCTCTACAAATAACTGCATCCATGTCAGTGTGCAAATCCATCACCATTGATCAGTGGTAATTAATCTTGATACAATCATACAACCTGATCGATATATGTCTTATGCTGTTGTAAAATCACGTACGACACACGTACATAATTCCCTTAATAATATATAGATCAATTATCTATATACAAGAATCTGGCATAAGCAGTCCAGTGCTGGTTCCACCAATGTTCTTGCACGAGGACGTGGTAGGTTTATTCAGATATGTAAGCTTGATGTCTTGCAATCTAATCCCTGTACATGGAGTGCTAGGGCTGCAATAAAATGTTACTGCCTCTGCCGTTCCCGACGTCCCTTGTATGTTTCTGTATGTCACTTGACTAATCTTCACACCCGAACTCTACAACAACAGAAAAACTAATAAGCTAATTAGATTGTTTATTATATGAGGAAAATTGAGGTTCCACTGTAAAATTAATTGGTAATATGGAAAGTAGCTCAACTCTTATAAGCCCTTGCAAGATTTCCGCTATTGCGGCAAAGGACCATCTGGATTTAATTTAATTTAATAGATATGTAATTAAGGGAATATAATATAGGATATTAACTTTACCATAGAAGGACAGCCTTGGTTATTGGGGCAATAATCCTGGTCAATGATGATGGGATTTTTAACGTTCCTCATTATGATGTTTTGGAAGAGAATGTTCTTAACGAAGCCAGTGCTGGGCCTGGCCCATGACTTTATTCGTACTCCATTGTCTGATCCACTGAACACCGCATTCGTTAGGGTTACATTTTGGACACCATCTTCCTTGAGATCCTTGCCTAGACTTCCAATGCTGCATTAGATACAGAGTCATCAGGTCACATCCAGATATCATGAGAGGCATTACTTTAATTCGTAATTAAGCTATATTTTTGCATCAATGTTTAGGCTGGTTATTAATTAAGTTAATCTTTTCTACATCGGAGTCCATTACAATATCACATGCTAATTAAACCCATCCCAAGTTTGTGTTACTTAATAAACCCAACTTGTAAATAAATAAGACTGATCGACTGTACCTTACGCCGTGTCCTGGACCACACTTGATGTTGCTCATATAGAGGTTTCTGGTGCCTGGACCGATTGATATGCAATCGTCTCCGGTTTGTAAGATGCTGCCCGTGATGGTGACTCCGGTAGAGCTCTGCACATGAATGCCATCTGTGTTTGGGCTTTCACTCGGAGCGATCAGCTTCACGTTTCGAACGACCACATTGTTGCAGCTGTTGACTACAAGGTGGGTTGCCTGACTGTTGATCGATGTTAAACCACTTACCAGAACGTTGTTTGCCCAATTGAACGTTATAGACTGCACATACATATATTATTATTATTATTTTATTAGTATTATGTTAATTATATATATTATATTAGTATGGTGTAATTATTATTAAAAGTGCATATTTATGCGTACTTACCCTAGCTCCAACAGGGCAACTCTTACCGGATTTCCTGCAAGCCCATAATGCAGACCCCCTGGCATCGAGGGAACCACCGAGGACCCTAAGTCCGGTGACCTCAATGAATAAAATCCAGTAGCCTGAGTTTCCCAAAGCCCTATAGTCCGTGGGGGCCACAAGGGTTCCGTCTATTCGAACTGTAACTTGTCTGGTCTTGCATGGACCTCTAAACACCACAGCCTTCAACAAGAACCTTCCTTTGGGGATGTACATGACAGCATTGCCCTGCCCGGAGCTGCACGCCGATGCCCATGCCTTGACGAATGCTTGGGTCGAGTCCGTCTTCCCATCTGCTCGTGCACCAAACTTCATCACATTGTAGCTAACTTCCGCTGCATTGGAAGACTCCAAGAACAATATGCTGATCTTGAAAAACAGCATTACTGCTGCTACATAATAATTATGAATGTTGCCACAGAAGCTTGATGTATAGGCCATTTTTGTGATGCTATAAGTACTTCTGATGTGGGGTTGGATATGAAATATATATTATTTTGATGGAAATAATTGGTATAAGTAATTGGATTGGGTTTGGCTGCTGAAAAAGAAGCAGTACTTTGGAGGTATTTATAGTTGCTTATTATTCCATGATAGGTACCAGTACATATTCATATCATATATGTATGTGTATATTAGAGAAAGTTAGCGTAGGAAATTATAAAATGGTGGAGTGCAGGTGTAGCTTAATTATATGATAAAATTAACAAATCATCAAAAAGTATTATTGTATTTGCACGTCGCCGATCGATCGTTGGCTTTAGGGTTTAGGGTTAGATACATGTGTTAGGTAGTGATATGTACGGAGACATGAGACATATATGCATAATGCATGTGACAGCTTATACTTATATATACGCGCAGTAGAGAGAGAGAAAAGAGAGAGATTATTAGGCGGCGGGCAAATGGCATTATTAGCATGCATGTGATGATATATGATCGAAGTGATCTTTCCTAGTTTCTTAGGGCTTTCCCATCTGGCAAGGCACTTGCGTACGTAAGGAATGAGGTATATCCCTCATCTTATACGTATATATTGGTTGTGTATAACATGAGTTCATATATCCATCTAAGTTTTGCCACGTGACACGTGGAAGAAACCCGGAGCAGTGGCTGGCGGAGAAGTCGCCGATCAAACAGCCTTAAACACAGGTCAATATTATTAATTCCCCTTCTACTAAAATCATGATTAACTGAATTAATTGAAACTTAATTAATTAAGCTAACACTACGTACGTACTGTGTGAATTGTACTGGAGGTCGAGGACAGACATTTCTCACCTCTATCACATTACTAATCTTTGGCAGCCAAACATATATGACATGGGCCATATGCTCTTGCTCATCACATACGTAGCACTAGTAATTAAATAGTAAATATATATTATACATGTTTATCATCGTCATCATTTCTTTTGCACCCCATTTTGACTTCACTCAAACTTTTAATGCTTTTTGGGTTTATAATTCTTAATCGCATACATTGTTTTCATGTAAACCTCTTCAGAAGTACGTAATTGCATTGCTTCATGAAGGGGTGGATTAATACTTGTATACGTGTATATGAATAACGAAATATTTAATAGTAAAGGGGTGAATTAATGTACAACATATTTTTAACTTGGCGACTGACGGGCATCCCTATTAATTTCATAGGTGTTCAAAAAAATAAGAAAGGGTGCCTAAAGATGCCTAGGCGCCTATTTAGACCCACCTAGATCGGGTCTCTCAGTTAGACAAATAATAGATAACTTCCATTTTGCATTTTATTTCCAATAATTTGTTAGAGACTTGTTGAATACTTGGATCCTCATATTTTGAATATGTTCTAGTACTTTATAATTTATTTGTCATTCTATTTGCAATTTATGTATCCCAATACATTTTTTATATTTTAAAGTACAAGTAGACATTTATTTATATGTTAAATAATAAATTTAATTAAAATTAAAAAAACTGCCTAGGCTTGGGTTAGCCTAGACACCTAGGCACTAGATCCCTGCTAGCTGCCCGACTAGCACATAGTGCCTTTTAAAACTTTGCTTATCGTGAATTAATTAGTATCTCCTATATGACATTCTACACCGAATAATGCTATTTCAACAAATTCATGGATTACTTGTAAGTTCTCTCTCTAACGGAAATAGACTCTAATTGTGCATGTGGGATCTACATGTATTTGATAGATATTCGTAAGTGACGTAGGTCTAATCAGTAAATGCGGTAGTCCAAATATTAACATTCTAAGCCTTGTGTATGACAATTTGATAACGGGGAGAGTTAAACTCCTAACTCCATACATTATATTTTATTTCCTAACTAAAGAAAGGTCCAAATATAGCTATCTATATTGTAATCCGAAAAGTAGAGAGAGGCAAACTTATTCTTCAAATTAATCAAACTAAGTTATAAAGAGAATTGATTTGTAAGGACAAGTTAAGAAGCTTGAGTTGTAATTAAGCAACCATGTGAAACGGTTCAATTAAGTTGGGGAGCCAATAAAAATTACGATGCACGACTTTATTAATTTTTATCTATCTACACTACTCCATAATCATCATCAAGTTCATGCATGTTTTATTCAGTGCATGTTACGGACGTTGATTAATAACTAAATGCTGGTAGCTTATCTGCCGATTTTAACTTATGCTGAAAGAAATACTGGATATTATTATAAGAATAACTGAACTGAATTGAGGAAAGGGAAATGAACAATTTATATATTAATTATGCAAAATGCAACTTGCAAGGCCTGGAGACTTGGAGTCTATATATACAAACACAAACCTCTTTTTTTTTCTTATAATATAAAAATAACAGTAGTTTACATTGGGAATCATATATAGATCGACAAGGGAAATTAGGGAAAGGACATTAATATTATTAATTATCGTGTGTTTATGATTTGAGAATTCAGAAACAACTCCTTGGTATGATCACTCCGCTACTGCTCCCACCTGCATTGGCACAGTAGGACTTGGCTGCTGCCTTGAAATAAGTAAGCCTTATGTCTCGCACTTTCAGCCCCCAGCAGGGATTACTAGGGCTGCAAAAGAAATTCATGGCTACTGGCGCCGTAGATGTTCCCTTTATATTCGTGTACGTAACTCTACTGATCTTCACGCCAGAATTCTGTACATTCGTACGTAGATTACAAATTAATTAAAATGGTAACCTTGGCAACTAATCAAATAATTAGGAAAACATTAATTAGTACAATCTAGCAGAAATAAATATGATTGGTTACCTGACGAGGACAGCCTTGATTACTAGGGCAGTACTTTTGATCAATCATGATGGGGTTGCCGACGTTTTTCATGATAAGGTTCCGAAAAGAAATGTTTGTTACAAAACTATTGCTAGCTCTTGCCCATGTTTTGATCCGTACGCCGTTTTGGGTTTTAGTGAAGACTGAATTTGTTACCGTCACATTTTGAACTCCATCTTCATTTGCAGATGCACCAAGACTCCCAATGCTGTGAATACATAAGACGGAATTTGTTACCGTCATATTTCGAACATTAACGGTACTCATGGATCGATGACTGAAATTCATTTGGGTTTTTTTTTTTACGTGAAAGCCCATGAATAGTTTCATGACAAATTTTATTAACTACATTAAAATATTTGAAAAATGTAGAGAAAAGAGAAAAGGAATATAATAGTTGTTTTGTAATTGTATGAATAAATTGACTAATATAAAACAAAGTTAGAGCTAGGAATATATACAACTTATCACCTTGCTTAGCTCTCAAGACAGACTAACAAACACTAACAATCTCTAAACTCATCTGCTAAGTTGGACCATAAACCTCTATTTTATCCCAACCACTCATATTTCGACACTTGTTACTAAAAAGTTTAATATTCGGGACTAAGCCCGTGGGCTTCTGAGTATGAATTATAACAATATATATTGATACGTAGGCGTGTGACTGTCATGTTTACCTTATTCCATGACCAGGGCCACAGGCAATGCGTTCAATCCACAAATTCTTGGCGCCTTCGCCGATTGATATGCAGTCGTCTCCAGTCATAATAGTAGAGGCAGTGATGGTGACCCCCGTCGAAGCTTCTATGTGGATGCCATCCGTGTTTGGGCTTCCACTTGGGGCTCTTATATATACGTTTCTCACTGCCACATTCTTGCAGTTGTCGATCGCCATATGCATTATCTGGCTGTTCATCATTCTTAACCCGCGCACCACCGCATTATTACACCAATACAACGCCACTGACTGCATGCACGCAACGTCCATATAATTAATTAAGTATTAAAATATTAATTTGAATATATATATATATATATATATATGTACGTACCCTTGATCCTGCTGTGCAACTCTTGCCGGATCTCCTGCATCGCCAATATGAATTTGCCCTAGCATCAACGGTCCCTCCGTACACAAGGAGCCCTGTGACCCTTATGAACAAAATCCAAGTTCCAGTGTTTCCAAGTTCCCAATAATTAGTTGGGGCAACTAGACTAGCCGCCGCATCCATCTGAAACACAACTCTGCTGCTTCTGCATGGGCCACTAAACACTACCGGCTTTATCAAGAAACTGCCTCGAGGAACGTACAAGGTGGCTCCGCCCCTAGCTGTCGACAAGCATGCCAATGACCATGCCCTAAGAAATGCTTTGGTTGAGTCTGTTGTCCCATCTCCTCTTGCACCGTAGCTAGCCACATTGTACGATGCACCCACTGCATAGTAATTTGACGATGATTCAAACAAGGATATCAAAAACACCAAAATAACAACAATCTTAGGCGCCATAAGAGCTTGATGGAAGGATGAAACTGTAATATCAGAATTGGACCCCATATATAGATGGAATTGAGATTTGTATTTTGGACCGACAGTTGGCTAACTTAAATGTTACTCCATTGTTATGGTGCGCTCAACAATTAATGTGATGATCATATGTACTGTACGATACATGGTGGTACAGAAAGAGTTGTGTAAATTTCGTTTTAATTAGATCGAATAATCACACATGATCATCATCTATAGATCAAGTTTCCATTGTCTACGTATATTATATATACTATTTTTTTCATATATAAACTGCTTACCATGAATCGTACGTATTGCAGTGCGTAAATATATTCATATATAACCCTTATATATCATTGTTTATCAAATATTTGATGCAAGTGAAACTGGATATGTCTCCAAAGAGGTAACGTGGGAATTCTTAGAACCGGAGCATTGAGCATGTTGGCAAGGATTTTGCTAGGGTGGATTACAGCGGAGCGGAATATTTTTGAGTATACTACACTTGAACGTATTCATATTCAGATATTCATATATGTGAAGCGTAATTGTATATGTTCATGACTTATGAGCCATATATGTGACATGGGGAAATAATTAGGAACTTACAGGGAAAAACTAATGAGATCCAAAGGCATGGGTAGCTTGCAATGCATCTTCTGGACCGCGGTACCTTATCTGAATTTGATCGTGGGCTAGCTTTCATTAAATTAAATAGAAAAATATATAGTTTGCTTATTACATGTAAAGAGTCATTTCTTCTTACAAATAAATTAGAGTTTGACGTGTATTATGACCATTATCATAAAGAGGTACGGAGGTAGTTGAGGCATCTCCAATAGAGGTAGCAATTGGGTAGTAAAGTTAGATTTGCTATTTTCAAAGGGGACGTTGAGGGGGTGCGAAAGGTGCTATCGCACATGACTTCAAATTTGAAGGGGCCCCCAAAATTTTTGTCACCTAATATTTATATGTAATAATATTTCATATTTAAAATTACTTTTGTTATGAAATAATATTCTATATTCAAAAATTGATTTTGTTAGCACTTTAAAATCTCATCTTATACTCCTTATAATCGTAATTTTTTTCCTTTCTAAATATAAAAATTTAGAGTACAATAAGATATTTTGAGTGCCAATAACACACCATAAAAGATGGTATTTTTTCAATATTATTATATAATAATGTTACATATTCAAGTGAAAACTTTAAAGTTAGAGTTTTTGAAGTTTGTTTTCTTGTTTGATTGTTTAAGATTGAACTGCTTTTGATTACTTAGTGAACGTTATGTATGTAGCTCTTTTTACTTATTATAAATAACATTTTTAAACTTGCAATCAGTGAGTGCTAAACTTTGTTTTGATTTAAGTGATTGTTTTCTAGCGTCAATACATTGTCCTACATTTTTTAAGACTATCTTAAGGAGGGGCGCTTTTATAAATTTCGCACAGGGCCCCCAAAATCTTAGAGACGACCCTGGCTATGTTGTGTAGGAGAAATGCATCTCCAACAAAGGTAGCAACAAAATTAGTAAATTGAAGAATTAATTAGCAACTTACCTTGCACTACCAAATGACCTTGTATATTTGCAAGGTCAGTTGCTACTTTCTTCAAGTTAGCAAATTGGGTCATGCAATATATTTTTATTAAAAAATATTGTTTAGTAAAGAGTTTGAAATATATAAGATGATTATTTTGTGGGAAGCTAGTTTTTGAGGGATATTATTGGGGTTAATAACAAAATAAGAAATATTGAAAATTTAACTTTCCCCCTCCAAACTCATTTTTACTAGCCTATAGCCCATCATATAATATTTATCCGAATAAAACCTAATGATCAGGATCCAACTAAGCAACTTACCAAATTAAATTTGTGTGTCCGTTTTTATATTTTTTGGATCCCTAATATACACCATCTAAGCCAGTATGAAAAGTTTTTGTAATTTTGTTTTAATTGATCACGTGCATTGAATTTGGCAAGGTCTTGTAGCCATGAAATATGGTTCTAGATGGAGGAATTAATTTGGAATTTTTTTTAATTTTGACAATAAATTTCAATTTGAATATACCTAATTTAGTGTTTATTTTCAACAATATCTATTGTTTAATTTTATGAAATAAATTTACCTATTATGAAAATTAATTTTATGAAAAAAAATATTTGTTGTTTAATTTTATGAAAATAATTTACCTACTATGAAAATTAATGTGCCTACTTTTTAAATTTGTAACAAAATTAATTTACCTACTTCTTTTTATGGTATTGGTATACATAAATGTAGAATATATGTCCGTATATATTTGATCTAATTAGGTTTTGGATTGGAGGAGTTCACAGAAAATTAAAAATATATAAAAGAAATTAAATGTCTAAAAGAAACATATGGGAAATTTGGTGGCATGATTTTGTAAATAAACACAAATTCAAGGACATCTTTTATCAAACATGACATCATATTTAATTTTTATTTTTTTTTGTTAAACGATAGCTTTTGTTAAATTAGATGTTAGATTAGCCACCAACGGGATTTGAACCCATGCCGTCATACAATAGCTCAACTCCTTTCCACCACTGTGGTAGAAAGCCCCTTGCAATATTTGGGTTTTATTTACAAGTTATAATATATGTGGGTTTTTGTCTAGAGTTTAAGAGTTGCAAAGGGTTAAATCTAAAGAACCCTAAGAAATATACAGGATGATTATGTTGTATAAATTTAGAGGGCGAAGAAGGGAGAGAGATCAACGAGGAGAAGAGAAGAAGAAAAGGGCTTGAGGAATTCTATGAAATAAGAAACTTGCTTTCCGAGTAATACAATCACTAACAGAAAAGATCTTCTATGTCTCGTAATATATACATAATTAATCTGCTATAATTCTAACTGCAACAGATTAAAATATTAATGTTATTTTAAGAGGAAAAAAAAAGAAGGGTGGGGGGGGGGGGGGGGGGGGGCGGGGTGGGGTTAGGTTTTCGGACTCCAATCTCTGTTCAAACTTGATGCCAGTCATAAGGCCCGGAAAGCAAATTAGGGCTACAGCTGAAACAAATGTAAAGCGAGATCAATTCATGGCTGGGACTGGGATTAGCTCTTTAAATTGAGCCCCTTCTCCAAGTCCAAATTCAGAAGGCTGGAAAGGAAAACTACCATGCCCATCTACTAATTAAGGTACTAGTTCCTTAATCAAGGAAATCCCCTACAGTAGCAGTACTATATATATATAGTAGCTAGAGTCGTCAAATACAGTTTTTTTTAGTTTGATTTTTGGTCAAGTATATACTTTGTTAGCAGCAAGCAATTGGCTTGAGAAATCATGCTTATCAAAGTTGTTAACTTAACAGACGTACTTACTTTCGGTACATAATTCGGCATGGATATGGACCAAACTCTCGCTATTACTTGATAGTGAAGTTACTATTGCGACTACTGTTAAATTGCTTTATCCGACTATGTGGTGGACAAGTAAATATATATTAAGCACAAAAGTTCGCACACCGTTATTTATTAAGTGCTCGCATGACTTTGAATGCACAAAACTTGTGATCATGCATGCAATTTCCAAAGGTGGGCTAACTTGCTCCACTGGTCCACTTTACCCGATGCATGTGATTATCTCCCCTGCACATAATAGTTAAGAAAAAGAGTTGGATGATACACAATATTTTCTTCGTTTCTAAGATCTAGTTCGTGTAAGAATGAAAACTATACAAACTTACGCGCATGCATATATATATATATACACATATATATACACATGTAGTGGTGGAGTCAGAATTTTTAAATGGAGTCATAATATCAACAAAAAAAAAACTTTATTGGGTCATTTCATCGAGCACCTAGTGGGCACCTGTCAATTTCTACTAACATATGCTGAAAGTTTATGCCAACATATGTTAACAACTATTATTATTTGTAGTGGCTTGTCAATGGTGGTTGTAGGATACTGTGAAGTTAAGTAATGCCAAGGCTTGTTAACTAAAGTATTTTAGTGAGCACATGGTATGCACAATAAAGTCGCATACAAAAAAGAGAGAAAAGGAAGACAAATATGATAGAAGAAAATAGAAGTAGGAGGTGGAGGTTTTTATTTGCCTTAACTGTTTATAGAGGTCAAATACAATGTACAATATACAAATATACATACATGAGGTTTTTGAAGTTATTGGGGTCAAGGGCAACCAATGACCCCATAATGACTTTGCCATTGTACACACATAAGTGAAAAAGAAAAAGAAAAAAACACTGTTAAGTATTTGAGTTATTCATTATATTACCAATTAATTAGTTTCAGAGTGAAACATAAACTTTCTTTATAGTATTAGAGCTTGTGGTTCATATATTGACCTTAGCGATTCACGTGCTCTCTTGTCACTCAACATATGTTTTGCATGTGTTAGGCTTAAGTGACACCACATATGTGAGGGAACATGTTAAGAGTGTAAATCTCACATGAGAGAAATAAGAGAGCTTGCATATTCTTATAAGAAATTTTATATATTACTAATTGATTTTATAATGAAACGTCAACTTACTTCAAATTGTAGTAAGACTAATGTATGCAAGGTTCTTATTGGCTGCATGTCTGTTGTTTCCAAACTTCGTGACTCCTTCATGTCTCGTCTTTATTTGGTTGACACACGTCCTTCAATATAATGCATGGTTAACTTTAGTAAAACTAGAATTCCCAAAAATCAATTGGGCACACCCACCCAAACCGGCGACATGACCATCTTGTGGAGAAATTTTTTAATGTGCCCGGAACATGGGTACATACGCCATAGGTCATTATAGGGATGCTTGAAATTTTTTTTTTCTTCACTTATATAATAACATAGAACATTATGCCCTGTGTTCTGGGAACATTAAAAAATCTCCCCATCTCATGGCTTCCCTCTCTCTTTACTTCTCTCTCATTAGCCGTCTACACTGCCTTGGTATTTTTAGTTTTTCTTTAATTTCTTATACACACAATAATAGAAATTAATAAACATGATTAAG